CATCACATCATCTAGGGCCCCCCAGCTGCTGGAGGAAATGTGGTTCTCAGTTAGCACATCACTACCATTTGTTTTGGGCTTGCCCTTTAATAGTAACTTTTTGGCAAAAGATCCATATCGAAATTGAAATAGTACTACAGGAAAAAATCCCTTTAAACTGGGACAAATTTCTATTTGGGCTCGTACATTCAATCCCCACAAACTCCAAAACAAAACAATTATTTGGAATTCTTACTGTTGCAGCAAAAAAAGCAAGAACTAGAAAATGGCTTAAAGCGGATATCCCTTCTGGTACGACAAAAATCCATGAAATCTATGTTATGGAAAGAATCACTTTCTCAATAAGGCTTCAGGAAAACACATTTGAAGAAATATGGAAAAAGTGGAGAATTTACATATCCCAAAGACGACCATCCCTTGTTTGACTGTGTTTCTATACACCGATTGAATGTATATGTATAGATGTGTATGTATGGTCACATGCATGTGTGTATGTGTATTGAATGTATGTTGATATGTGTGCATATGTACATGTGTAGACATTTGCTATTTTAAACAACCCCGGTGTTTTCGTTTTTATTTTATTTTGACAAATTTTGTTTGCTATTTCATTTGTCACTTTCGGGTCTCTACAAATACTATATGATTTGAAAAACTGTACTTGTATTATAATGTGGCCCCAAATAAATAAAGAATAAAAAAATAATAATAATTGTGCGCTAGGCTAAAATAGGTTACTTCTTTACTCGGTAATGGCCAGGAGCAAAAGGTTTTTGTCCTGCAGTTTGGAGGCACTCCCCCAGGATCTGACTTGGGTGCTTGAAAGCATTTCAGACATTGTAGCCCTGAATACTTTGAGAACAGGTACCCATTGTGAGCAGCGTAGTCATGGCTGTGATGCTTCTGTCCTCCTTTTACTTGTTGCACTCAAGCAGCAGGCAACTGGTTGTTGATTTATGGCTTATTTTTGGAGACGCCTGATTGGACAAATTACAGCAGTCCTGCTAAAAAATACATTCTTTAACTGTGAGTTGCTGTCAGGAGGAAAGGGCCATTGACATTTCACATAAAAGGCACATAAGCCATGAAGTAAAGTTCAGATCAAACGTAACCTTTAGTTTTCTTACTCTGTGACGAGGGCAAATCCTACTGAATGTACTTTTACAACCATTATTTCTTATTTGGCGCCTCAGCACATCTCTTATATCCTGATTGAGATGTGAACACGTTTTTTATGGAGCTTTCACACAGACTCCATGGGTGGATGGAGTACAATTATGACACTACGGTGAGCTTAGCAAGTGGACAATAAATTGACACTGTTTAGTCAAAGTATTTTTCCAGGGGCAGGACTACTCTCTAGGTTAATATATAAAAAGGGCATCAGTTGTGTCAACAGGAAATGCAGCAACATAAAGTTACACAAAGTCAGGAAAGAAAAGAAAGAATGATGAAACTGCAGAAGGAAAAAACTAAAGCATAAAGATAAAATTGGGAGTTTATATCAGAATATAATTCTTATTATACCACATTGTTATTGTATAAACACTCATGTCCATACAAAAAAAAACTGCCTGTCGGAGAGGCAGGAGTTAAACCAGTTTGCAACAGGTACAGACATGTTAAGTCAGCCAGACTCAAGAGAAGTCAGGGATCCTCTGTAACAAATGAAGAACCCATATAACTTCATTCATTTTTGATTCACATTACATTTTTAGAAAACCTCTCTCCATATCATTCCAATAATATTCCTATAACCTTGCTGTATAAGCAGGTACATTTGTGATCTTTCGACGCTTCATTTTCTTTGAAGCCGACCACAATATCTTCTTTATCAACTCCTTTTATCTGTGTATGATATATAAATGCAAGACAATGCTTTTGAAAGGTTGTGTAATAACTAATGAATATACTGTCACAAGAACAGGAAAGCTGCCAATGTTCCCTCTGTGATGAAAAACGCAGTGGCCTCTGCCCTCTGTCCCTCAGCCTCCTCTGTTGTGGTTTCCCCTCTTTGTCACTTACACTGTAATGTGTTTCTCCCTGCTACCATGTGTCAGCCTCGCCAAGCTGTTCCTGTCATAAGAACTGAGCTGAGTGAGGGTATCCCATATTTCAGCAGTGACTTCTCTCCTCCTCATCCTCCTCTGGTCCGGTGATGGGGAAGCCAACTCTGTTGTTTTTCAGGTTCAAAGCTAAAGAAGCAGGATCATAGAGTCAAAGTGAGTTAATAATGTCTTTCCTGCAAAGACTCATCTGATCTCTTCTCTTGTCTGCCTGCAGTATCTGTTCAGAGAATAACAAACAGGACAGAACAGAACCTAATGGGCTGTTGAAGGAGAATAGATAACATACAGCAGCAACAATTACACACAGAAGGGCAGAAGGGCCATAATAGGGAGGAAGTGGTGGGGGGTCCGACCAATACGGCATCTCCCGGCAACTGCAGTGCAATGTTGCTTCAACTGTCACATTATTTTCCAGGATGTATTATCCACCTGGTGCGCAGCTTCACCTACAGTCACTACAGGATTCAACGCTTTAAAGGGTATAGGCAGTTTGTTGCATTGTATAAGAAATCATACAGCTGGCTGTTCTTTATGTTTTCTAAACAAGACCATAACCTCATCTCAATATAAGCTGGTTTTATTTGTTCACCCCAAATGTATAACAAACTGAACGTCATATGCCATCTTGTAGTCTTTTAAATCCTAAATGAAGATCAGTATATCTTTTTAAACACTAAAAGAAAAATGTACTCTTTTTTTTTTTTAAAGGTGTAGTTTTATTTTAACTCCAAACTAGTCTAAAGGATGAATGGAGTGAGCAATAGTAGTTCATAAAAGTACAAGTATATCTGTAAAAAGAATACTTTCAAATACAACAAACCAACAAATATAATTTAATGTGTCACTCATTTTACTTGGTCCTTCCTTACCACCAGATGCAGCCACATTGTTCCAAACTCACAACATTGTATTCTAAATTATTGTAAAGACCCTGAGCTATGTACAGATACCATAGGCTTAACTTTGTGTAAATGTGTAAAATAAATATTGTTTTTTTTAAAGATGGAGCAGGCCAGACAGTGTGCAATGTTTGGTTTAATGCTAATTGCAATGGGAGAGCTTAATGTTTAGGGCTTTAAAAGTGATTTTCAATGCATAACGAGGCCTTATAAGCATCCTCCACTCATGCACCCCTATGGTGAGACTTTGGTCCAGCGGGGAGAGGGATGTGGTGCGACTGTGGCTGGCTGGTTGGCCGGTCAGGCTACACTGGAATGCGGGGTCTTTTGTTTGCCTGAGAGAGGAGTGGGTCAGGGGGAGAATGCCATTGATGATTGGAGAGAGGAAGAATGAACCTCCAGGAAGTGTCCTCTCTCTCTCCCCGCTCCCCCACTCTCCCACTCTCATTCTCTCTCCCTCTCTGCCTCTCTTTCTCTATCGTTTTTTTTTTTTCTGTGTGTGAGAACCTTCACCGTGCCGAGCCTCTCTCTCTGAGGCCACGGTCCCCAGGCACAACCACTGCTTTGTCTTGCCTTGTGAACACACACCCCTCCTCTACTGGGCGCCTACGTTTGCCAGGGAAACACAGGGCCACTGCTCCTATTCTTATCCACATCGCTGCTCTTGCATTGATGGTGTGTGTGTGTGTGTGTGTGTGTGTGTGTGTGTGTGTGTGTGTGTGTGTGTGTGTGTGTGTGTGTGTTTGTGTTTTTGTGAGTGCTCAATGGTAAATTGTATTTCCTATGGCATCTGATGCTTCAGTATAACCATTTATTTTGCTGGTGTTTTGTCAAAAATGTGAAGTTATTCATCATCGTTGTTTCCTTTGCTACCCTAATTAAGCTTTCAGACTAAAATAAAGAGAGTTTTTATTTAGAGACATGACCAGAGTGCAAGATATCCACCCTCTATAACAGCCAGACTAAAAATGGAATAAAGCAGTAAGTGGATAAGAATCTAGCCGGTGGCCCCTTCCGACCAGTGGCTGCCGCCTCCCGTCACATTGCTCATTCCCTTCTGTGTCAGAAGGCTGAGAGGAGCTGCAAATGGCCCTTTCAAAACACACGGCAGCTGGAACACAGGGCAAAGGTGACTGAAGCAGTTGGGGGAGCACAGGGAGGGACAGGAGGGGGGGGGGCACGAGATGAGCAGCTGCAACCTCGAGCCCCTGTTTCTGCACTGTGCCACCATCTCTAGCTTTAACAATTAAAGACCCTAGAGACTGATGTTTTTTTCAGTTAGTGCCTGATAGTCCACAACAACTTTTTTCTAATGTAGTCCACACAAATCAGCATCATTCCTGTCTTCAGACAATTTAGGCTAAACAAGTCACAGCCAGGGACATGGTGTGGTCTAAAGAAACAAAAGCGCTGGGTGGTGCGGTGCCAGGGAATTCCACATCCCAAAGCAGGATTAGAGAGAATAGCCCTTAAAAAGTTCCCTATAGTCCACTGACCCTCCAAATTAACAAAGCATGATTTTATAATTCTCTGTATCAGTTTGGATACTTTCAAAGACACAAGTTATTTGTGACAGAAAGTGTTTCTTTCATCAAATGCAGACTCAAAGCCACATCCATCGTTTCTTGTAAATTCAATTTGCCTTCTGGATTTGAACTATTGAAATCCTATTATCTTCAAACAGATCTGGATAGAACAGGAAACATGGTACTTTTCAACATATAATACATTTCAACATCCAGCTGTATGACAAGTCTGTCTAGTCACAAAAATGTTTTTTGTTCAATGTCTAGACTCTTTGTATTGTCATCAATTGCTCTATTTGTCGTTTCCTCAACTTTGCCATACTTCCGGATTTGTCCCACTGAAAGCCCCCCTCCCCCGTCCGTGGGGCAGGTGTTTTAATAAGGCAGCCAATTGATGTTCCCAGTGTACTCTGCTACTTGCTGCCGCTGTGTGAATTCTCGGAGTAGTACAGAACTTATTGTGGACGCGCGATATCGCGAGACTTGTGCCATTATCAACCTGCTTGACACACAGCAGCGCTGAGTGCAGCCTGCCTTGCCAGGGTCGGACTGAAGCTCAAGAAACGACAAGGAGAAGCGAACATCTGGCCGCACATCATGAAAGGACGTCCGGGCTTCTAAAGAACACGACGAACCGGGCGGAAATAAATGTAAGTGCAGTGTTTTTGTGCTTTGAAACGGAGGAAGCGAAAGTTAAAAGAGTGTCCCCTCGCCGCTTCGTTCAGCGCAGTTACTGCGAGTTCCTGTGCTGTTTAAAAGGCTCCTAGCAATGCGTTTCCCAACACGGACATAGAGCTCGGTTTACTGCGCCCTTGGCTCTGCTGTGTCTTACACTTGTATCTCTCATTAACATGTTAATACCGGGCGCAAAATTACACTTATACATTTTCCTTTACGGTGAATGAAACTTTAATATTCAATTCACCGAAGTTTTTTTTTTAATCTGCCTGTTTAGAGTTTTGAGTTGACCCTTTTAAACAAATATGTCACAGTTGTGCGCGTGTGTCTGATAAGTGCCCCGAAGCGTTTTTATTCCCCTTCGCGGTTATCGGCTGCAGTTTTCCTTGGTGATAAATTACACGATTAAAAAAAAAGTAAAGTTAGAAATTCCGTGCAATCTTGTGATACTTATGAATCCACTCTTTTTCTTTTGAAACAAGTTGAGTGTGTGTAGTTTGGACTGCGTATAGCCCAGAGTTAACATATGGCATAAAGGGGAGCACAGCTGGAGGTAGCGTTTCCATTGCGGTGATGTCAGAGCAGCTGACTCCACAGCTTGCAGTGTAATTAGCAAACAGAGCACCAGTTTACTCACTCTGCACTGCTCTTATTTTTCACGTTTGCCTCCTCCCCGNTGGACTGCTATAATTCCCACTCTCGGGAGTTTATTCCGTAAACCTCCGCTATTTCTTGTGCGATCGCCGGTGCGCCACTTTTTTTGCCAATTTTGGAAGCTCAATAAGTAGGCTGACTACCAGAAACCGGAATACTTCGGATAATTTGGAGAGTGGATCCCTTTACATCGTGATACATGGGTGGGTGAGCGCAGCGTAGCGTGTCCTGCACCACTGGAAAGAATGTAGGATTTATGGTCTCAAGTTGGATAAAGTTATTGCTGATGAATTTAATGTATCTGAATAAAGTTTTGTAACTGGGAAGGATTTTATTGACTTGTGTGATTAAAACACGGGCATGCTTGTGCATTGTTTGTTTGCTCAGACTTTTAAATTATTTGCGTTAAGTTATCCTAACATTTCCTCTGGTTTAGCCGTGGTGCCTCTGCCGGAGCACCGCTCTGCCCTCTAAATGGCTTCAATTCGTTTATCCAGTATCCTGTTTTTCCTGTTTTTCTCAGGTTATGAAGGAAGAATGGAGTTCCCAGACCATAGCCGCCAGTTGCTGCAGTGTCTGAGTCAGCAGCGTCACCAAGGTTTCCTCTGTGACTGCACTGTTCTTGTCGGGGAGGCTCGATTCAAAGCGCACAGAGCCGTGCTGGCCTCCTGCAGCATGTACTTCCATCTCTTCTACAGGGACCAGCTGGACAAAAGGGACGTTGTGCATCTCAACAGTGACATTGTGACAGCCCCGGCTTTCAGTCTGCTCCTTGAATTTATGTATGAGGGGAAGTTGGATTTCAGCTCTCTCCCGGTGGAGGATGTCCTGGCAGCAGCCAGTTACCTCCACATGTATGATATAGTGAAAGTGTGTAAAAGCAAGCTTAAAGATAAAGAACTCTCCCCTCTGGATGAAAAGATCAGTGAGGGCTTGGGGCTCGGCTGTGTGGACAGAGAAAAATATTTGGAAAGCCAGCTGCACAGTAAGCAGCTCATCCGGCGACAGCCCCAGACACAGTCTCAAGGGCTCCTCAGGGCCCCCCTGAAACAAGAGTTTGACATAGACAACAGCGAAGTCAGGCTGGCTGTCACAGATTGTGATAGGTCTGTGCGGAGCAGGCAGAAGGCGAACGGTCACTCTGGCAGGTCCCCGGACCTTGTAGGTGTCAATTATTTGTCAGCAGAGGCCGAGCCCTGCGTCCAAACAGCTGGAAAAACAAAAGCTGATGTCAGTAGTTCCACCGTATCGCTGTCCCAGAGGTCCCGGGCTTCAGATGACATGGACTGTGCGCTGGATTTGTCTTTCAAGCCTCTGTCTAGCAGAGATCCCTTACACCCCTCCTACGTCTCGGGACAGCTGGCCCTCGACAGCCAGCAGCAGGGCACTGAGCCACTTGTTAAAGACGAACACGACTTGCTGTCAGAGCAGGAGGACAGTGAGCCGATGAGCCCTGAGAGCCAGCGCTTTGGGAATAGTGCCAGGAGCTCAGTGGTGACAGGGTTCGCTGCCCTCTTCCCAGGCAACAACGGATCCACAGCCGCCCTGCTCTCCCAGGAGGAGGACCTGATGGACGAGGAGGGGGAGGCCTGCAGGGGGAGGGAGGGCGCCCCGGGCCGGGAGGTAGAGGAGAGGAGGGGGAGGCTGCTGGGGGACAGCGAGGAGGAGGAGGAGGACGACCTGGCCTCTTCAGACATCTCCACCTCCAGCGGGGTGCTCCTGCCCCCGGGGCAACAGGTGTGTGTGTGCCCCCTCTGCAGCAAAGTCTTCCCCAGCCCCCATGTGCTGCAGCTGCACCTCAGCTCGCACTTCAGAGAGAAGGACGTGGCTCGCTCCAAGCTGTCCCCTGATGGCTCGGTCCCCACCTGCATGCAGTGCAACAAGACCTTCTCCTGCATGTACACCCTGAAGCGCCATGAGCGCACACACTCTGGCGAGAAGCCATACACCTGTGGCCAGTGTGGCAAGAGCTTCCAGTACTCCCATAACTTGAGTCGGCATGCTGTGGTTCACACACGGGAGAAGCCTCACGCCTGTAAGTGGTGCGAGCGGCGCTTCACCCAGTCTGGGGACCTCTACCGCCACATCAGGAAGTTTCACTGTGGCCTTGTCAAGACTCTCGCCATTGGATAAAACCCCTCTCACCAGTGCCATGACACGAGACAGAATGTCTTTTCATACACTGAATAATACTACTGAACACTTTCCCCATTAGTACACACACATGTTGGCAGTATATTTTGGAGACTTCTCTTTTTGGATTCTACCCCATTTGGCATTTCTCAAGTTAAAGATGTAGTAAAGTGCTTCCTGTGCTGGACTGTGACACAGGCCTTCATGAGGGTCAGAAGCAGGCTGTTAGGATACACATGCATGGTGCTGTGAAACCCAAGCTGGATCTGTGTTGATGAAGGTGAACAAATGTAGATGATGCACTTGTTTGTTTCTGTCTTGTTTGTGTCAATCTGTTGACTTTATTTTTGAGGAGTATATTTGCTGAGAGAAAAAGCGTCCCATTTTCGAGCCTATGGGCAAATGGGTGATAGCTAATGCTAACATATGTTAATACAATCGTCAGAGTGAGTGAGACTTTTATTTGTGCACATGGGAGATCAGAACCGTCCGTAAGTAGCAATATATGATTTTTTTTTAAACTCCTACATTATTAATATTATTATTATTATTATTATTTATTTTATGGGGATTTATTTAGTCCTTAACAAGTATCATAAAGCAGCAAAACTAATGAAGATTAACTACTGGAAGTATAACTATTTTTTATGAAAGTAGAATTTTTTATTTGGTTGAAATGAAGTTGGAGACAGTTTTATGTTGTTTATAACAAGAGGCAAGCAGACCATCATATCCCCATATTTCTAATTCTTTCTGCCTTGAGGAGAGACAGCACGTCTTCAGTTTCTAATGTGAGTGAGCTCATATCAACGGGATGGCCTTCTAATTTGCTACTTAAAAATAAATTGTATAATCAGAGGAAGGAAGTTAAAAGCTAATGCTCGTAACACTGGTGCCTACTGAAATTCTTAACACTTCACCTGATGTACTTACTTAAACGAGAATGAGCTGTATCACTATGCCTTCTTGTCAAATTCAGTGAGTTTTCAGGCATTTTGAAATAATCTGGATTACACTCCACATACCAGGTGGTAACAAAGATTATTGTCCACTCTGGAATGCCTTTTTATCCACGAGCGTCCTTAACTGAATAATTAACAGGAATGTACTAAAAGAACCTAAAGCAAGCTCAAATACATTTTGTATTGTTTGGGTTAAAGGCAACTAGTTTCCAGTGAATTACCTTGTTATTTCCTGGTATGACATAAAGGGCAAACCCTCAGCAGGCAGGAAGGGAGACAGGTGGATACTCAGCGCTTTGTTGTTCATCAAAGCTGAGCTCCAGGTGCCATTCAGCTCAATCTACTGACTTCTTTCTTTCTTTGAATTAACCTTTTCACATTATCATATCCTCTTACTGTATGTGTGTGTGTGACTACTGATGAAGCTGGAGCCTTTAGTGATGCTGTCCTTTTCAAAAAAGAATCTTTCAAGTCTGTTAACATAGATGCTTTCTGGATTCTTAGGGGGCATAGCACTAAAAGTTCATGATATATTGTCTAATCTGTCCTGAGAAGACTTGATCAGAATTTATTTATTAGTTTGGTTCAGGGTTTACTGTAGGTGTACTTCTTATTTTCTATAAGCTTGAAAAGACGCCGCGTCTTGCCTAGTGATCTTGGTACTCATCAACTGGTATTGGGGCTGTCTGTTCATTTTTTTTTCTCCGTGCAAATCGAGTTACTGTAATTGTATTTTAATATACCGTGTAGAAAGCTTAAGATTTGTCACATGGAACATAGAGAAGCACTTGTTTTAAGCATGCATATAGTTTCAACACTATTGTCTAGGCTGCTATTTCTTACTATATGTATATTTAATGTAAATATATATTCTATTTATCAAACTGTTTTTGTTTTTTTTCCGTGTTACAACACAGAGTCAGGTGTCTTATTAAGACTGCAGTCTCTTAAAGTGTCACGTCTTCCCCAGGGGAGTCCTTTTCCATATTTAAGAGCAGTTAATACTGCTCTGACTGCTGTTCTGCCACAGGAAACAGTTGTTCACAAGCGCGGCCACACCGATACGGCATTAGTTACCTATAGAAACCAGACAATACAGGCATTGTCCCCCCCCCCCCCACCACCACACCACCAATCCCCCAGGTAGTTCTCAAGGGGATCACTTTGTTATTTCTTCCGCTGGCTGTGGGGTAGGAAAAGCAAACCGCAAGTCTCTCTTTGCACCTTTTCTGTATTGAATGGTATGCCCTTGGAAATGTGAGGAATGTAATTTAGGCAAAGGGGAGCCAAGGATCACAGTAAACAGGTGTATTTTGTTGGAGGCATCAAAAGAACATTCCCCCCTCCCCACCACTACCAGCATTGCAGTAGATAAATGCTTCATTGTTCCCTTTACATTGAGGAAGATACCACGGTGTGATTTGATTGCACTCCTATCAAAAGAATATCAAAATTATCCATAGATTGTTTTCTACAGTGCTCGATTTAGAAAAAATTGTAGGGACTGAAAATAATGTCTGGCAATTGTGGACGACCACAGGTCAAACGTAAGGCGCTGACGACCTATCCATTTCGGCATTAGCGCACCCTAAAGGTGTCTTTATGTTTTTATGTTAATCACCAAGACTTCTTTCATGGACACAGTAAAAATGAATTCACATGTGATTTCTCAGCATTTCGCAAGACAATGTGTTTCGTATACAATAGCTGTTGTAGTGTTAAGGTTCAATTCAGAAACAACAGGACTGTAAGTTTTGTCTTTTTCAAGAAACATTTCTTTATGTGGTTCAAATTAATTGTGTAACAAAGGTAGAAAAAACTAATCAATATGGTGATAGTTTCTTTGTATTGTTTGCACGTCTATATATACCGTCTCAGGATGTCACCACTTGTGCCTTGTCGAACTACGAATAGGTGGTTGCATCTGGAAAGAGCCCTTTTTTCATGTTGCCATCTTTTTGACTTCACTGCGGCGTTCACGTTCACAGCGCAGAAGGCCCACTCATTCAAACTGTTGGTTCCGTGTCTTTCTATCATGTCTAAAATCCAGACAAACTAAGTTACAAGTCCATTCTATTTTTGCTGCTTCTTGCGAGAGATTACATTAACCTTTATTTGACCGTTTTTGTCTATGTGAACAAAATCTGTTTTGATCGTGTTAACTGAGGACAAGCATTTTGTTTTTGTGGCTTTCTAGAAGTAAAAAAAAAAAAAAAAATAATCATTACTACTGGGAACTAACAGTCGGTTCCTTTAATTATTGTCACTGTTGAATGTGAAACACTGAGATTTTGATTGATTGACTTCTTATGAAACTTGTTGAGGCTATGTTTGCCTAACGTCATGCTGTATGTGTTTTAATTTCTAAAAAAAATGACTTTACCAATACTGGATTTGTCCTCAGCAGGTTCAACTGTGCAATTGTGTTATAATCATGAGAAATATTTATTACTGATTTGCTTCTTGTTCACCATTTGACCTGGTCTCAGTTTAATTGGTTAGAAAAAAAAGGCTTCTAAATATCGAACGGAATCTTTTAAATAGAATTTGTAGTAAGTGCCATTAGAATTAAATAATTTTTTTAATAAGAAACGGTAATTATAGTAATCAATTGCTTCAGTGTTAGCTGGTGTCAGAGATTAGAGGACAATTTCATGCAGGTTGACATTGCTTAGATATGAGGCAACTTACTTTTGATCTGTAACTGTATGTGCATTTTCTTTGTTTGCGCTTTTGGGGTGTGCGTGTGCTGTGGGAATGTGACAATCTTGATTTTAGGTCTTTCTTAAGATTATGCATAGAATTAAATGGAACAACTCTCTCATTGTGTGGCGTTTCTTCATGTGGACCAATCTTCCTTTTTTTGTTTGCATTCATCTGTTTTAACACCAGCCAATGTGCCATTTCTGACAAACCCATGTTTTACTGAAGATTAGCTTTTATAAATCAATTTTTAGTCGTGATAGTAGACTCGATACACTGCCAACCAAAGAACTTGTTTAAGGCCCTGTCTGACACGGGCAGCAACAATCAGGCCAGGATTGTGTGTGTGTGTGTGTGTGTGTGCGTGTGTGTGTTCGTGTGTGTGTGGGCAGCTTGCAATGTGTACACGAGACAACAGAAAAGTGATATACTGCAGGCCTAAACCATAACTTAGCTCAAGGACGGAAGACATTTTCAAGTGTTTCCCATTTTTCCTGAGCCTGTTGCCAATACTCACCAAAGAGATAACCTTGGATAACAATTAGCCAGTTGACCATTCTTCTGTAATTATTTACTAAAACTCAGCTTGATATATATACTGCTTTGAAACACACACACACACACACCACACCCACATACACTTGAACACACACCATTTGTATCTATAGCACATTATAGTCTTCTTCAGGGCTTAATGCCAATTCACTGGACATTTTCATGGCGAGTACTTTTAATTAATTTCCGCCCGCTGCCCGATGAAAGGAAATCCAGCTGCTCTGCGACGTGATCCCAATGGGGATGTGCTCGAGTTCTTCCCACCACCCTCCCCCCCAACATCCCAGCTCACCCGTTCCGGGAAACACCCCTATACGACAAGGGCCGCATTCCAAAAACTACCTGCCCCCAAATCTCTCCTCCTCCACCCCCACGCCCAGGCGCCCAAACCACCGGCCCCCAACACCTCGGCCTCCCAAATCCCTCCACTCTATTGGTGTAGGGCATGGGTAGTAGCTCAGGCCAGGCCCCATTGTCTGGGCGCGGCTCCCCGGCACGCTACTTTATGCACCAAACAGACGACAACACGCGGCGCTAGCCCAGGCCAGGCTCCTACATAAATAAGAACACAAGATGTCCTCCCAAGATCATTCATAAACACCCTGAGGCAGCCCCAGCCAGCTCCCAGGTCAAATAAGGGCCCCTAAGCAAGGGCTGGCGGCCACCTAAACATCCACAGCAGCAGGCCTCAGAGCGCTTCTCTGGCACCAAACCACCCTCCATCTGCCTGCGGATCCAGGGCTTAGACTGGCCTGGTGCTTTTTCTTATAGGATGCCAACACTCACATGGGAAGGCGGGTGGGCCATGTGATAGGGCTTAGCTGCAAGGGCGCACGAGCTGGGAATAATGTGGCAACCGTAAAACTCGTGGTGTAATAAAACATTCCTCTCCGAGGCTCAAAGCCCGGCTCATTTGGCTCTGAGTGTATTTGTGTGTGTGTGTGTGTGTGTGCGTGTGTGTTTGTGTGTTTAGAGGTGCTTGAGAGAAGTTAAGAGGAAAGTTGTAAGTGTCCACCAGCTCAACCAGGCCAGCGGTGGGAGCCCTTGACCTCTGAGGGGACGGACTGCCAGGGACAGCTGGTGTGGCCTGTGTTTATTTATTTATTTCTTAACAAAAGACAGGTGGTCACACTTGAAAAGGGCACACAAACACAGACACACATGCGGCTGTGTGCAGACAATGCACACACACACACATAAACACGGGTGGTTTTCTTTTTCTCTCTTCGTATCAACACGCATGCATATGGTTATCATCCACTTAATTTTGAGAGGAGCAATTCTTTTGACTTTCAGAAAACACAACCCCCCCCCCCTAATAGGAATATAGAAGAAGAAATCTCAATTGATAACATAATAGTCTGGTGTCATCTACATTTGAAGCAGCTTTTAAACTTTATCACCATCTAAAGCTGCGATCTGAGCTGTGTATAGCACACATCAATTGCTACAAGTGCATAAATACATATCAACTAGTGCTCTCACACTGGGTTTGCCTTTTTTGGAGTGGCTCGCCCTGACAGTGCCAAGACAGTGTGTCCTTGGTCCACTGTACAGCTGTCACTTACTCACACTCGTTGACGCATATTTATAGCAGCAGCATCACACTCAGACCACAGCTGGTCCCCAGAAGAATGGGAGAAAGACAAAGCCATGTGCTCCCGCTGGCCGACTGCAGTTGGCCCTGTCTGGAGCGCCGTGGGTGACTATGTGGCCCCCCCATCCACACAGACATCCCAGGCCCATAGATGTACCAGGGCGAAGATGAGGACCCCTCCGTGTGGTGGAGCACACGGGACTATTTTCTTTGAATGTCACGGATGGGGATGTGCTGAAAACCTTGACAGCTGCACTGTGTTGTTTTGAAGGTGCATAAACACATCATTATGGGGTTAACAGAGAGCAGGGAGGGGAGGGGAGCATCAGCATCCCACCCTTTAATAAGTCCACAATGAATATTGTGGAGGACAGACAAGACATTAAAGAAGGGATTTCAGTCCATGTGAACTCTTCTTACTAATTAATGTTTCATATTTTTAGGATATATAAGACAAGGCAGACCTACTGTATCACAATTTATTTTGTTCTATGAGCACGAGGCCAACACTTAGATTAAACTGTGAAGAACAGAGTACAAAGAATAGGCTAATGATTGGTTCACTTTTTTATCTCATTAGACAAAGTGGGGTTTGATGCAATGACAGACCACAGGAAATGGTTGAAATAAGTGATAAGGACAGTCCATTTTAGAGGACATGGATATTTAAGAGTCAGTGATGTTGGTAAATGATCCAAAACAAATGAAAAAGGAAGAAGTGGGATGCTCGCTTTAACATTGCAGGAGAGAAAATAGATGAATATATTTTTTCTTTTGCAACCATAATAATGTCTTAGCACTACGTCATCGAAAGTTATGAGGCTGAGCATCTTTCAAATCTGGATTTAGTCAGACAAATTATTCGATTTTTTAAACTTCACTTGTAATTTCATAATAAGTAAACACACTTTGTTGGAAAGTTTCAGACCGGACCCAAATCAAATATTAATATGTACTGGCGGAAACACATCTCCAGAGAATTGGACATCTATGTTGGTTCAATGAGTCAAGATTGTTTTATCTTAAATGAAAATAAACTTAAATATTAATAATCGAGTTCCTTAAAGCCTTATCAAGAAATGCTCAGACGACTTGACGCCCTGCCTGCCAGCAGCTGTCAGTTAATTGTGCCAGAAATCAGGCAGTGTCCTCCAACACCAACTGCAGCTCCCCAGAGAGCGGAGCCACAACTGGCCCGCTGAGCCGGGGGATGTGACTCAACGCTCACAGGCGCACTCGCAGTAAGCTCCAGGAAGTGCACTCATCCACGCTAATAT